TTGTTGCTGGGTTACAAGATGATGCAAATATTGTGTTGAACCTTTGAGTTCTGTGTATATACATGTGTATGTGTGCACACAAATGCATACACGCATATATGAACACTTCCAATCTAGCAGTAGAAGGTCTGTAAAAATCAAGAAGGCTGTCTATATGTGGAGCTCTTGAGTGGACCAAGTTTAAATTGGGCACGTGTGAATCTGCACCAGAAAAAATCCTTGTAAGAATTTTTAAAAATGCTTCTAATGTGAATGGTGCCACTGAATCCCCTCTCTAGCCCGCTGACACTGTGGGAAGGTTGCTAGCTAAGGTGAAAGGATTGGTCATCTTGACTGAAAACTCTGTGTCCCTATTCCAGTATAGAGAGCAGCTTTTTAGGTGATTTTTTTTTTTTTTTCTGAAAAGTCAGAGAAACGTGTATTTCTTTAAATAAAACCCTTCAAGTGTGTGGTGTTGCCAGATGAAGAAATTGATACTACAGATCCATGTGCATAACCTGTTCAATTTTATTATGATGGGGCAGCAGTCTAAAATAGTAGATCTGAATGGGAGCTAAAATTGCTGGTCAAATGGTAACTTGGACTAACTTGTGTTTTAGGAGTTCAGTATGCTTGATAAGGAGAGCACAATACAACAAAGATCTTTGTTCATGCACTTATGTTGTCAAATTTGCTTTTTGAAGGCAGAGTATTCATAGTACTTAAACTATACGTGTGTTTGTCTTCACAAAGTCCCTGTCACCTTTTTTTACGCTTAGGAAAAGGAAGGTTGAACTCAACACTGTCAATGTGCAGCCTTGAGCGTGTATAACTAGGACCTTGTATCTTTGGTGAATAATTGCATCTCAAAGTAGGGCTTGGTTTTGTGGGTTTTCATTTGTGTGTTTTTACAGTGAGTGAAAAAGGCACCTGGGTCTCTATCCACTGCTGTTCATTTTCAGATTTCCAAGCTTGTAACATACAGGCAAATCAGACCTTCTTAACAATTCAGTATGTGCTAACCTGAAACAGAGCATCCTGACTCCAGCATATTGCTAAAATTCTGTATTTGCAATATATGGATTAAAAGTTGGGTGGAAAATGATGTGCTGCGTGTGCACAACAGGCAAGTTTCCAATGTTGTTTGTTTTTTATCTCAGAACTGAATTCCTTTCTGGAGGATAAATGGCTCTCCTACGTCTTTTCCCATAGTGATTATTTAGCTGTGAATTCTGTTTTATAGAAATGCTGTCTTTTCCTTGACAGATCTACCTGATCTATGTGTTGTGTGCCCATTGCAGTGTCAGTTTTGACTGTGTGCTCTAGTACCATCCCAGCTGAGAATTAGATCTTTCTTTAGTCTCTCAAAAGAATTCTTCAGAGTTGCAATAGATGATTAAGACCTGGTTCTAGGGAAGATACTTGTCTTTGGAGCAGAACCTACTTCATCTGGAAGGTGCCGAATGACAGTACTCCTAAAAGTTGCACTCTAGCCCTTTAGTAAAGACAGGAATGGTAAGTGTTGTTGCACCCTGGCCACCTGATCTCCTACCAGTAGACAAAATATAACCAATTTTTTGCTAACTTTGTAAGAAGCTGTGTGATATAAGCAGAAACAGAGGACTTCTAAACATACAAAACTTTCATGTTAGATCACTGTCTATGTCTTGTAGTTTTATAAGCTGTTTAATTTGTCTGTCAGGCAGGCTAGTTGATGCAAACAAACTCCATTTATATACAATGTGGTAAATAGAAAGAATGGGCCTGGCATTTATCTGTAGTGCTGAGGGTGATCCTAATACAGCCTGTTCTGTAGAGACTGACACCTTTAGCAGCACGCAAACTAACCGATGTAGTAAAGACCTATGACTCTCTTTTTCTTTCTCTTTACTCTTAATAGTTCTCTGTATTAAAACTGTGTATTTCCAGCATTGTTTATGACCTATATAGTCATACAGGTCAGCTCTTCCATAGTGAAGCTCTGGGGTATGCATTGATCAAAAGTTGTTGTTTTGAGCTTTGTGGAGCAAGGAGAAGATAAAAGGTAGTATTAGTTTTGGCTTTTTATAACTTGAGTAATCCAAATTCTTGGTAGTTTTTTCCCCATTTACTAAATAAGAATAAAGAAGTTTAATTAAGCCATGTTTAAGGCCTTCAAGTAGTATGTGTAGAAACACTGGAATACAGGGTTCTATTGATTTACTTCTTGAGAAATCAGTTTTGTGCTATTTTTCATCTTCCATGCAAGAATGACAGTTCCTAGTGCCTGAGTAGCTTGGAATCCTGTTTTTTGGAAATGGTAGATACATTCTTCTGTCACTGTCAGTGTTGCCATCTGCCAGTTTCCTAATCTCCTATGCAGGACAAAATGAGTGGGAACTACTTAAGAGTTCTAGTATTTTGCTTTCTGTCAGTAGTTGGGAAGCTGCTCTTTGAAAGCTCTGTCAGTCTCCACCAAAAGCAGCTGTGGCTCAGGAAATTGAAAGTTTTCCTGTGTATTTGCACAAGTCTCAGACTGCAAAAGAAATGCCCATTTCCAGGCCCCAGAAAACCTTGTTCAAATACAATTCTGCATGTAGATCAGCTACAAATCCTCTTCCATTTACAGCAGTTATCAGGCAGGATGCAGGATACAAGAAAGAAAATAACCTGTAATTTGACTGAGGGAAATCCTGGTAGATACTTGTTCTATTTTAGTATATCATTTGGCACAGAATTCCTGTCTGTAAGGCTAGTGCTAAGAAACACACTGCTGCCATAGAGGGGAGAAAGTTCAGCTTTCTCTATCAAGGCAAGTGAAAGAGCGGGGCCATGTGTCTGAAAGGCAGGTTTGTCAGAGACAAGGCCGGGAGAGCTGTTGCTTGTCTGGGTTGTGAATTAAATTGCAGTAGACAGTAAGGTGCTCTGAAAAGGTGCATTTGAAGGTCTATGGAAGTAGATGGAAAGAGTTGAAGGACCCCTTCCAATAATTTTTTTACTCTTTAAACCCACATTGTGACTGCTCATTTATTTTCGACGTGTCAAATGACTTCCTTTTGAGCTTCCTTTTGGTTCTGGTTTGGGCGGGGGGGGGGGGGTGTTCTAATCAGGTTTAGGGTTACTTAATTCACTGTAAGTCCCAGAGTTTGTGTATGTCTATCATGAATATTGTTCGCATTGTGATGTCCAGCTTGTTTTTTAACAGTAGTCTGGTTGTGTTTATTGTGTTCTGCTCTGCCTGAGAATTTGAAGGTAAGGTATTTATTATACAGATAAATACAAATGATAAGTCAAAAGCATTGCATTATGGGTGCCTGCAGCCTTGGCTACAGTTACTGTTTGGAGATGAATGATTTGCTGGGTTTTGGGCCCCAAAAGGAAGTGAAGGAATAGGAAAGCCTTCACACTAGAGATGCTAAGCCTGTAAAGAGCTGTTTAAACCATTTTTTGTAGATGTTAAGTTGTGCTCAATTGTATTTGGTTTGTAGTGTATGCTCTCAGTTCTCAGTGGCACACTTCTGCCCTGTGTTCTTTTTCTTTTTCTTTTTTTTTTTTTTAAGTATCCAAGACTGCTCCAGTCCATACTGCGCCAAAGTCACAAAGTCTTTGTCAGCTGGTAAAGACCAAGAGAACTCTCAGGTGCTCTTGGTGGCTAGGTCATTCCTCTCAGGCACTGAGGCAATAAATAGCTCTTGCCTGATAACATTGAATTAGGCAAAATTCCAGTGGAGAGAGCAATGACTTGATCTTTTTGCAGATGCAAAAAAGGTAAGCATGGCTTACTTGTTATCCTGCTCTACAGTATATTTTAAGAATATCAAATACTGCTGAGGTGGCAAAACTCTGATTGTGTCAAAACACAGTTACTGATAATTTGTATCAAGTAGAGTAAATTGAATAAGTTTAGGCAGAAAAGTAGATCTGGTGTCCCCATTTGTGTATTTGGACTACTTGTGTCAACAGATACAATTATTGGCAACTGTATTGGAGGAGAGTAATGTATAAAGGTGACTAAAGCTGAGATAGGAAACGTGGTAATAGTAAATATGAACAGTGGTGTCTGGAAGCACAGCAGCAGCTTTCTCCGGGTTACTTTTTAAAGGTTAGTTTTTAATTTTATCTCCTGGTGAGATACTTTTTAAAGGTTTTATCTGTGTCTCTTGCCTTTTTAATCAAAACTAAAATCTCATTAGTACTAGTTGTAATCCGTGGTTATTTAGGGGGTTATTAGGGCTGCACAAGTTCAGTGTTGACCTTCCTCTTAGCAACGTAAAGAACATCCTATTTTTCTTTATTGTTCTAGCTGTTAGTTTTTCCAAGTGCAGGAAAACAAGTCACAACACAATTTTCTCAGTCGGGGGTTGTTGGTTTTTTTTTGTGGACTAGTGAATTGATTTGGATACTGTGTGTATAGGACCTTTTAAAGTTCAGGCAATTGAAGCATTTAGGAAAAACAAGTTAAAACTGAAACTGCTAAAATGTCATGTGTATGTATTTCTTTGAATTGTCCGTTATAGTTGCATATGCATCTGACCTTCTCAAGGGTCTTGCTTTGTTTTGAGTTTGCATGGTCTGCTGTAAAATCCTTTGTAAAGACTGAGTAGTTGATCCTCATCTGGAGGCTCTCTAAATGCTGTGCTGCCCTAGATTACTGTGAAAGAAGAAATGGAGATGCCAGGAAACAGCACAAAAAGGCAAACTCCTGCAAAATCCTTCAGAACTCTGGGACTGAACATTTGTGCTGCTACCATCTCAGTGTTTTTCCTGCAAAATTTCTTTAGGAATGCCTAGCTCTACTCTTTTAAAGGCCATGTGCTTTGGTTAGGATCAGGAGTTTGGGGGTACTCTGCTAGAAGAGGGTTTTCTTCAAGTTGTGCCTGCTTCTGTGTTATAAAAGCTTTTTTACGGAGGTTAAAATTTATTTGTTGATGTAACAAAGAATTCTGCTAAGGCTGGAACACTCTAAGATGATGGGGTTTAAATTTGGCTTCCGTTCTTTCTCATCCTGACAGCATTTGAAATGACTTTGTTTTTCCTTCCAAATAACAAATGATCCCTGTGACTGTGTAATTAACTACACCTTCCCCTCCCCTCCTTTTAAGGAGTTTCTTTCCCAGTAGCACAACCCTGCCAGAAACAATGCTAGATCATGGTGCTGTTCTCGTCATCATCAGATGGTAGGCTGGTTTTGGTATTCCTCCTCTGCAGTGCCAACGCTATGTCCAGTTCTCTCAGCTGCTTCAAGAAGCCCCGGTTTGGCAAGATGCATCGGTGTCTTGATACTTGCTCAATGGCATCCACTACTGTCATGTTCTTGTAAATCATCAGGTAAGCCAAGACCAGTGTGGCTGACCGGCTGCGACCCATAGCACAGTGAACCAGAACCTTGTCTGTGGAAACAAAGAGAAATGATGCAGAGATGACCCTGGGTAATTTCTTTTTTTGGCAGTGAAGGTTTCTGTAGTGCCCCTGCTCTGTTTGGTGGTTTGACTACCCTTATCAGCATTTTTGTAAGGCCTGTCTTTTTACAGGTGGGAAAACTGAGGCTGTAAATCTTACTGTAGTAACTGAACATTTACACTGGAGATTACCCATTTAATCCTAAACCAGGTATCTTTGAATTTATTTGTGAACAAAGGTTGCAGAGAAGGCCTGGGGGCTGCAGGCTTTCATTAAGTAACATAGCAAGCCCCACTGCAGCCTAATTTTGCATGCCTCACAAGCAGCATATACGTAATTCTGTGTTTGGGCATAATGGCCAAAGCACAAGGGTGTGCGAGGGTTTCGTATGCTATCAAACCATTCTTCCATGAGGATAAATGGAATGCACAGAGGTGCCTTTCTCAGTTCTACCAGCTAGACACAAAAAGCTAAACGAATTTTATTATTTTATTTTGTTCTGGCAATAATGTCCTTCAAGATATAGATTGCATCACTTTATGCCCAAATACTTCATTTGTAAAATAGAGCTAACAAGGCCTTTTTTAAGGCTCGGTGATATTTTTGAGGGCAGAGGATAAGAAAGGCCATAGAAGTTAATAGGCATATGACCAGGGAGATAAAGAAACCACCTCTTAAACCGTTCTTAAATCTCTGGCTAGTCGCCCTTACCCTGTCGTGTTGAATTAAAGTAACATTTCACCACCACCTCTCTGAGTGTTTTATATGGTCATCTCCTTGCAGTAGTGGCCTGTCTTGTGTACTGTGAATGCAGAGTCTCTGCTAATAGTTTTCATCTCTGAATAAATGTGCCTCAAGATTCAGCTTTTGTGACATTGCTTGGTTTAACTTTGGACTTCCAGAGGCAGAAAGTCCTTGGCTTCAGGTACTAACAAGGATGTAAGCCAAAGTGGAACCTTCCCCATTTGCTGTGTCTGGGGGAGGTGGAGGAAGAGAACAGTAAGTGGGTTCAGGTCTGATTGACAGGTTTTGAAATGCTTCAGAAGATTTCCAAAAATTATTCAGAGCCCTTGAGGGGGTCTCACAAAGGGTTGAACTGCTGAAGGAAGTAGATTTGGAGCACTCTAACACCCTGCTAAGCTGAATTGCCACGGGGGGGG